ATGCTGCCTGAGTTCTGATAATGACATACCTCTTAAGAAATCTCTGTCCTCTGAAAACCAGCTACATACGCTCTCAGTTTCCAGTGTACTTACTTTCTGTAGGTAGTTTAATCTTCCAACAGCACCGATTTTTCTGGTATAATTCATGAATCCGATATTGCCTTCAGTGGCAGCATAGAACTCGTAAATGTGAATATCCCCAAACCTCTTGATGAATTCTCTCCACACATCTGCTCGCAAGCCATTCCCCAGGGCCATTCTCACTTTATGATCACGATCGTTTGGCTTCTGTGATGGGGGGAGAAGGAGACCAACTTGAGACACCTCTGGAGCCTGAACTTCTGTTGCCTTTTTTTTTTTTAAACTAAAACTTGCCTTTATTTTTTACATACTCATGTGGGTTACAAATTCCCCTCAGTGCACGACTGTCCTGCCACTCACACATATGTCCCCTTTCCCTCTAACACAAGCAGTATAGGCTGACGGCTAGAACTCTGAGTTAAGAACCAAAAGACTTGGATTCTCCCACTTTGTGACGATCTGACAGAACCAGGGGATGCCAACATTTAGTCCATATCCAACCTCAAGTTACAATAATGTGTTAATACTGTAGTTTTCTTGATGGGGCTGGTAGGTATCGGGGAATTTCTAGAAAAGAGGAGCCAACATGGGAAAGATCTATCAGAGATGGAGCAATCTAATTTTGGAGGACCCTGAGTGAGGTCTTTCACTTGTTAATGAAGAAAACTGGGAAGACAGACCCATGGGAGGGAGGGAGGGAGGGAGGGAGAGAAAGAGAAGGAGGGAGAGGGGAGAGGGAGGACCATTCTTCCCTTATTTGAGACTCAGTCTCACTATATTGCACAAGCTGGTCTTATTATTATTTTTTTGTGGTTACTTTTTTTTCTCTTTTTTTATTCTTTTATATTTACATGGATGGAGCTGGAACATATTCTTAGTAAAGTATCTCAAGAATAGAAGAAAAAGTATCCAATGTACTCAGTATTATTATGAAACCAGTATCACCCACAATTTCATATGAAAGATAAAACATAGCTATAGCACAAACCGGTCTTAATCTCCTGCTCTTCCTGCCTCAGATTCCCGAGTAGCTGGGAGTATAGGACCTACACTGGCCTGAGAACCATTTTCTACAAAGTTATTAAAAAGCAATAACATCAGGTCCTGGAGGGACTGGGTAGAAGAATCTTAATATTCTCTCATTTAAAAGGGAGACCTAGAGGTCACGAGATTAGTTAGAGCCAACTAAAAACAACAGCAGGGGCCCAATGGAATGGGGAGAGGAAGAGGAGGAGGAAGCTGGCTCCCAGTGGCCTCAGGTGGCAGGGGAGGAATATGTTTTGCTATAAATAAAAAGCACAAAGGGAAATCTTTGGGGGCATAAGGGTTGAAAGGCAACCCTCCCCCGAGGTGAGGCGAGGACCAGGCTGCCTTCCACTCAACCATCCTCATTTATGGGGCCCCCACAGATAGAGTGGTTTCGATGATATTTTACATTATTGAGGAGGCAATTTGTGTCCTTTAGGAACTCACAGCCTGGAAGGATACAAGGTAAAGAAATAGGTATAATTTTATCTGGCAAATTCTGTTACTCCATGAACCTGTATTCTACTGGACAATAGAACAAAATGGGGTAAAAGTCCTGGTCATCAGGGCTCTCCCCTCGCAGTGAGTGTTAATTTCTTTGCTCAAGCAGCAACTGCTTAAATCAGAGCATTTTTCTACATTATTTCCTACCCTGGGAAATCACTGTGAAGTGATTTTAGAATAATATCTCCTCTTTGGAAAGAGCAGTTTAAAGCAAGAAGCAGGCAGTTCTCTGTGAGAGGGAGGGACTTTTTTTTTTTTTTTTTTTTGAGACAGCGCCTCAAGCTGTCACCCTGGATAGAGAGCAGTGGCATCACAGCTCACAGCAACCTCCAACTCCTGGGCTCAAGCGAGTCTCCTGCCTCCGCCTCCCAAGTAGCTGGGACTACAGGTGCCCGCCACAACACCTGGCTATTTTTTTGGTTGCAGCTGTCATTGTTGTTTGGCGGGCCTGGGCTGGATTGGAACCTGCCAGCTCAGGTGTATGTGGCTGGCGCCTTAGCCGCTTGAGCCACAGGCTCCGAGGCGGGGGAGGGACTTTGATGTAGCAGTTTAAAACCACACTCAAACAAACTCTGAATTGGTTTCCATGCAGGAAGAACATTCATGTCATTTTTAAGTAGCTTGTTGGCCAAAACTGAGGTGGTGAAGCTCCTTGAGGAGTCTTAACGAGAGAGGTGCTCAGATGCTGGCCCCTGGTAAAAACAGGCCCCGTGAGTGGTCTTTCTGAGGGCGGTATATCTACAGAGGGCTGCGGGCCCACGCCAATGGCTCTTAACCAGAGCCACTGAGGAACCTTTTGACCCTGCATGAGCCCTGCACATTTTGACTGAGTAGGAATCTACCCTCCTAATCGGCTCCCTTGGTTCACTGGTCAGCAAATCTATCCCCCTATCTAATCACTAAGTTCTGGTGAGTAGGCAGCCCATATTCTAGTTTGCTAGGGCGAGTCCTACATGCGCCTGAGATCATGGCATGCTTTACCTTTCCCTCCCTTTCCCTCTCAAGCGTCACCATTTGGAAATAAACTGCAGTGTTACCCTGACCACAAGTTACTGTTCTCAGTAATTATTGTCAGTTTTCAGAGACCACCACTGTCCCCTTCCACCCCCACTGCTCCTCACTGCCACTCCAAGAATAATAATACAAATATCTGAAGAATACTTATTTTTTCTTCAAAAATAATCATCTGCCCCTGGAGCTTACCTGTTCCCAGGCCTGCACATAAGCTCCAAAGCAGCACTCCCACGTGCAAAGCCCAGACCTTACATAGCCCACATGCAGCCCACACTCAACCCTTCTCCCACTTGCTTACTTTATTTCTTTGTCTAATGGGAGTGGGCTGAACATCTGTCTCCCTCATTAGATGGTAAACTCCTTTGAGGCCAAATAGATCTCTGTATCATCCCCAGTGCTTGGAGCCATGCTTTGCACGAAGCATAATCGCTGTAGTAAAATAAACAACTTCCACCAAGAAACCCTCAATTTCCCTGCTCAACAGCTAGTGGCCACGGCATCAGCACAAGGGCAGGGCTTAGGGTGCTGGAGGCCATGGATGCTCTAGGGGTGTGAGAAGCTGGCCAGCCTCACAGGTGCACTTGTCACCTGTGGGTGGCAGGTAGCTGAGCTCCTAATCCCAACACCATGGGCTCAGTTTTCATCATACAACTGAGGGATCAGTTACACCAGCAGAAGGGATTAGGGCCTTGGGCTGGAAATGTTTAGGCACCAACAAGAGAGATCTTGGAGCCTTCTAAGATGTCTGGTTCTCACCTAGGGTTTTGTTCACAAGTGGCTGAAAGTAGAATATGACTCCAGTTTTCCATTCCCACAGGGGAAAGAGTGTTTCTCCATCACCAAAGCCACTCCTCAGAGGAACAGATTTTTAGGTCAAAGGTCATCTGTTCATTTTTTTTTTTAAACAAGGATAAAACCTCCTCCTCCACATTTGAGCTAAGGTGTGACATACAAACACACCTGGGGGACTTAAATCCACACTAGGATTAAATAACTGGTGAGGAGTGAGAGGTCAGGGTGTCCAGGGAAGAATGCAGGGTGCCAGGCAATTCGAATAAGCTGAAAGCTTCCACCGAGGACTTTGCTATGTGTCAGGTATTTGATCTGTATTAGCTTAAGTTTCTAAAGAACCCTAACAAAATGTCATAGCTATTATAATAAAGTATTTGCCTCATATTACAACTGAGGAAATGGAGCCTAAAGGAGCTTATAATAATTTGCTCATGATCACAAAGGTAGCCAATAGTTGCTCCAAGATTCCAATATGAATCTATGTAACTTCAGAGAATGCCGTTTCCTTAATTAAAAAAAGCCTAAGAGAGTGGATGGGCACATGGACTGAGTCACATAGTATGGAAAGGCTCTTGGGCTCTTAAATGCTGTGATCATTCCACTTATCTGTCCCCATTTTTGTCCCAGCGTGCCACACAGAGGTGGACACTTTTAACTCTTGTTAGCTGTTCCTTCTGATCTACGTATTTCTAAATGAATTGGTTATACTGCTATCTCCGGATTCAACAATTTTAGACTTCTTACTGTGCTAGATGAGGAGTAAGTTCTCTCTGATTTTTCCAGTATCACAATTTTCGCTTACATCAACATTCAGTGCTCACCTTATTTTGCCCATATTACACCACTGAGGAGCCAATATACTAAGAACAAATTCTTGAACAATTTTTTTTTCCTGGAGTTAATTGCCTCCCTGCCCATTTGCTTCATTTTCTTCGTGTCTGCTTGCTGTCTTTTCTTACCTGCCAGTAGCCTCTAAATAAAAATCTTCCTCATGGTGAACTCTATCAGATGATATAATTTCCTTTTTTTCATTATGCTTCTTTTTATCCTTCTGTTCCAACCCGGGCTAGTTGTTTGCTGGCCGAAGGATATTTCCTTTGTCTTTCTTTCCTGGATCCTGTGTCTTCCTTTCTTTTTTCACTCTCTTTTTGGGCTGAAACATTTTCTCTAATAACTTCCTGAAGGCAAGTAGTATGTAAGAATTTTTTTGTTTTTTTTTGAGACTTTGGATATCTGAACTTATTCTGTACCTCACTGATAATTTGACTGGATATAGAATTCTAGATGGGCAATACTTTTACTTAGAATTTTGAAAGTATCACTCTGTTTTCAGCTTGCCACTGCTGTTGTCAACAGGTCAAATATCATTCTTGTAGAACTATCTCCCTTTTTTGGGTAGTCTTAAATTCCTTTATGGAATTTATTATTATTCTATGGAAATTATTACTAATCTCTCTTTCTTCATTAATTTTACTGGGTACGCAACTGACCCTTTCAATCTGTCCTTCAGTCCTGGGATATTTTCTTATAGTATTTCTTTGATAATTTCCTCCTCTCCATTTTCTCTTCCCATTAAATATATGTTGCACTTCTTTAATTGATTTCTAATTTTTTTGTTTACTCTCTTCTAATTGTCCATCAATCTATCTTTTTGTTCAACTTTCTGTAAGATTTCTCAACTTTATCTTTCAATCATTCTATGAATTAAAGACTTTTCAAAATCATTTAAAAATTTCTTCAGGTCTTATTCTTTTTTCTTTTTTGTGAAATATTTCTTATTTTATAAATATGTTATCTTCTGTAATATCTCAAAGGGAGTCTCACTTTGACGCCCTAGGTAGAATGCTGTGGCGTCATAGCTCACAGCAACC